CTGGCGAGATCTTTTCCTCTCAGCTTGATGAGTGCTCCACGATATTAGTGGGGGGGAAGTACCCCGCTACTTTTCTGCTGCTTTTGAATCACCGAAGTCATTTGAAAAGCGGGACATAATGAGTTTAGGCTTTCGTCAGTATTTCACAAAGAAAGCATGGGAATTGAAGGGCTGCATTCCATAGGGGCGTGTCGCAAAGAAATACAATTTTTCGGGCTGCGAGAGTACTCACATTCAGCCTCGTGCAATAGTTCCACATTCAACGGTTTTTGGTCACTTGGAATTAGAGAATTACACAATTTTCAACCCTATTTCTCAGCATGGTTAAGAATCTTAACAACATACTGATACGAAAGCTAGAAAATAAATGAAAATCGTCTGTGCCACGGAAATGGCCATTGGAAAATAAACGTCACATTCGAATTAAGCTCTTCAACTGTGGATATTGCTAGCTCGCGGAAAAAGACAAATTATATTTCACGATAAAATGAAAGTGACTCTTCGATTTGTTAAATTTAATCTCAACGTTTAGTAATATTAAAAGAATTTGTATCCCTCACTACTGGCTATCCATTCAATGGCGGATCTACCACGAAGCAATTTTCAAATAAACTAGTGGTGCTACAGAATGGCACACTCTTTCCCGTATTAGTTTTTTTTTTATTTCCTGTAGTCTGGGATATTCCTCATACTCTTGCCAGCTGCCATCTATCGCCGACGCATTTTTTAAAAAAATGTTCTTAATTTTTCGGTTTCCTAATAGTAAAACGAAAATATTATATTAGTAATATTAAAAAATCTGCAAAATCTCGTCCTAAATGGCAAATCTCTGAAAAATTTGGAGCGGTTTTTCAAAATCTGGCTTTTAAGAGCTAATGTAAATTAGAAATTTGAAGCTCTTTTTTACAGAAATTTTTGATTTTTCCAAAAACTTCATTTGAAGTCATTTTAAGTACTTTAACTCACAAATACAATAGTGTTTGCAAATTGCTGGAAATGTGATATCAACGGCGTGAGTGATCTTTCAAAATATTTACATTTGTGTAATTCTTTAAAAATTAAAAAAGAATGCACCGAAATGAACTTTACGTCATATTAAACAATGCAATTAGCACTATCCGTTCGAAATGCTTGAAAAGTGTTCGAAAAGAAAAATTTAGAGCGTTTCTGAAGATGCGGAGTTTTGAGCCAATTTTCACAGAATACTATTGAGTTTTCGAGAAACTTATTCTGACATTATTTAAAGCACATGTACTCATCAATACAATCATGTGAAAATATTGTCGCCAATGTTAATATTAACAACGTGTGAGGCAATTCAAAAACAAAATTTGTACTTTTTGGAAAAAAGAATTGAGCAATATGGCGTTTTCATTTAGTGCATTTAGTACTATACCTACCAAAAATTAAAAAAAAACAACATTGCAGCCGTTTTAAGAAAATCTTGTTTTATATTTTTTTAAAATTGCAAATATTGCACGCAATATTGTACGAAAACTGCTGAAATTTTAAGAAAATGTACTTGATTTTGTAGCTGTAGAAAGACGTCGAAAAAATTCAAAGTTTTGCAATTATCGAAAATTCAGAGTTCACTGCTAAAATCGGACATATGCCACCTTTATAAGTGTATTTTACTCTACGTATTGCTACAAGAAATTTAAAAAAAAAAATTGGATCTGTTTTTGAAAAAAATATGAAAATGTCCGGGGGCTTCATGTAAAGTACCCCAAATTTTGGAGTATGTTTTCCAAAATACCAAAGCTTCGACTCGAACCTGATCGACAGGGATTTCTTTAGTTTGGTAAAAATTCTACGTATTGCTTGGGCGCTAGTAGTGTTCACGGACGGACGGACGGACGGACGTTTTGAAAAAAAAAAACACCATTTCGGTATCAGGGGACCCAAAACGTGTATTTCCTTTAAATTCTCGCATCGATTTTCCGCGGCATAACTTTTCCTTTACTACCTATATTACTCAATATATGTATGTATTGGGGGAGAGCAACAATTGCTAATGCGGAAATTTCGTATGGGTAGAAGTAACAGTTATTCCCTGAAATGAAAGATGAAATCGCTCGTCTTTATATAATCACTGTGCAAAAGAAGTTTCCGTTATAGACTTTTAACTTAGGTAACGAATTTGAGTTATATATTTCAGTGTATTTCTTCTACATACAAATTGTATTTTTACGTTGAAAACTATTTTTCTTCTGTCGCATTTTTTTTACTAAAAGCGTAACATTTATTAATATATTTTCAAAGTTCATAATAAATTATTTTGCAAGATCCTTTGAAAATTTTAATATAATGATGCAAGAAGTTTCTAAAATTGAAAATTGGGGAAAGATATCTGCTAATGAATATTTTTTCGTCTTAGCATTTGATTTGTTAATTGCTATTAGTATGTTAATCAATAAATAAAAATGTATGTTAATTAATTTAATATTCAACTCTCGACTAAAATTAAAAATTGTATTATCAACATTGTTATCGAAAATGGAAAATACGTTGGAAAACGATATTCATTTAAGAGATTTCATTCTTTATCACAGAAAGTGTGCTTACTTAAAACTTCATCCTTCCTGTTTATTGATCGTGTCTTGTTAGCGCGTTCAAGTCTTTTGCAACAGTGCTAATTCCTTTTCTGGGGTAGTTACCGTTTGAAATTAATTGTGCTACAACATTGCAAAGACATTCTCGCAATATATGGTAAATTGTGTTATATGACCATTATATCGTAATTGATTTTCTACATTTATTTTACAAAGTAAAAAGTGATGCAAGTGAGATCACAAGGGAGGTGTGTGAATATCGTAGTGAGTCGAGATTTTATATACAAATTCACTGTTATGTTGTTGAGAATAACGATACGATTGATTCAGTGGTGGTTGCAGGCGTCTACAGCTGAGGTCATTAGTCCCGTAGGTGTAGTGCATTTTTTATCGGAAGGTGGCTGTGATCTTCCTCCGCTGGATGGCGAGATCTGGCGCAGAGCTAACGTTTTCTAGTTGGTGGGGGGGAGGTTCCTTAAGGAGGTATCTCCTACCAGTGGGCACCCCAACTCAGCCGGACCATGCTAAACTCTCCCGATCGGTCTCTAGGCATTTGTGGTAGTGTGGGACACGTAACTGTGAAGTAAGGGGTGGGGATATGTCAAGGAAGGAGAAGGAACGGTCGCGTGGTCTGTGGCTCGTTTCGTAGTGTACTGCTCCGGCATTCGCGTGGTATTGATGGGAGAAAGCACGTAAATTTAATGATTAGAGGCGCCGTCCCTTAGCATTCTATTGCAGATGGCGTCTGTACGCGACGTATCCGTCTAGCTCGTGTCAAAATCATCGGACTCGAACCTAGGACCTCCCGGTCAGAGGCGCTGCGGTGACAGCAGTTGTTGACCTGAGCAACCTCTCCCGTACCGGCGCTGGTATTGGCGCGACTCGCTTCTACGCAAGATGAGATTAGTCTTTGATTGTTTCAGCCGAAGCTAGTTACTTTCGGAGCTCGAGTTAGGCGTTCATCGAGCCCAACCCAACGGGCGCGCGGGCCCTCCGCCGCCTGCGCACGCGACAGGCAAGGGAGAAGCATCCGCGCGGCATCGGCCAACATCGTGTACGTTCAAGCCACCTCGATCAACCTCAATATTCACTATTTCTTCACGTTTCTCTCTTTATTAGTTGTAGATGCATTTTGTCTCCTGATTTATTCTCTTTCTTGTATGACACTGTGCTCCGTACCATGTTTACTTTCTCGCCCTTACTTCGTAAGAAGAGAAAGTATTGAAATCGTGCACCGAAAAAGGCGAATTTCATGCATGGTATACAAAAATCAGTTGACGGCTGACTGTTCTAGTCCCATGTTCAGCAAACTCTCACTATTTGCAAAAATTGCAATAAGTTAACATTGCAAAAGTGCAATATTTAAAATAGATATTTTTTGTCTTATACAAAATCTCTTCTAAAAATCCGATCTTTAATCAAGGACATATAATTTTTTTTGGAAAAAGTAATATTCACGTAATATCTCCTTGAAGTGAATGCAAAGTATGTAAAATATCTCGAAAAACTCTCCACATTTGTTATTTTTTTCACGAATAGAACAAAGAACACTTAAAATATTCGAGCCGGTCTGACTTTCGTTGAACTCTGAATTTTCAAATATTGCAAATTTAGAAATAATGGGATAAAATGTGTACTGTTGTACCACTACTGGTTTCTAGTAAAAGTGTTCATCTCCTAGAATTGCTCTTGAGGCCCTGGCAGACAGATGGCAGTGACCTCTCGTGCGGAGACCGAAGGCGTCGGCGGGGCGCAGTCGGTCAGGGCGACGCGGTGCAATCGAGGTGTCCGCCAGGGACGCCGCGGAGGGCTTCCTGGCAATGTACAATTCAAGGTCTTCTCAGCGCTCCGAGAAATTATTTGCTGCAGGGTGTGTCTGTGCCAAACCGTTTATTAAAAATCGTAGTCCTTTTCCTTGTCGAATTTTCTCAAAAGTTAGATTTTTGTGCTTATTCCAGACCGCATCTGTACCAAAAGACAATCTATTTCTGAAGTAGGGACTTATCGAAAGTAAAGGTCGGTGTAGTTTTGTTCCTATCACATTCTGAGGCTTGTTCTGCTCCTGTGAAGAAATAGAAATTACTGGTTTTCTCTGTTCTTCACATGCGGTTAACGTTCGGACTATTTTGTGAAAATGAAAAGACATCGGTGAGGAGACAAGTGAAACGATAAGAACAGTTCTGAAATTTATGGAATATTATTTTTACTATTCGATAGTTATATGAGTGAAGGTGGGTGACAATTAGAGTGCGAACTTACAAACATTTTACATTTTGCTGTTGTTTCTAAGAGCATGTTTTTTAACTGCGCGATTCAAATTTGTTCTCATTATTGTCAATGTGAAGATCCGGAGTTGAGACATGAAACAACGTAACCCTGGTCACCCGAGTGACGCGCGGCTATTCATGTGTCGTCGTACCCATTCCAAGCAGCGCTTTTGTGCGTCAGTCACTCCCGCGAGGCGCGGCCGCGCGCGCCGTGTTTGCCAATGCATTTGCGCCGCAGTCTCCCTGACCCCCGAAGCGCAGACGCAACGGCTCCTTGGTGGGGGCCGAAACGGCAATAGAACTTGTCAGCTCTACTCAACATTGAATTGACTTGCTTCTTGTCTATACTATTTTCTGAAAATGTAGTTAAATGTTTTTTTTAAATGCTGGTTAATATAGTAATTTAAAAATATTAATATTATTCCTACACATCGTTTATAGGCAGCAACACCTGCACAGCTTTAAAAACGAATAATGATTTACAATGGTTATTTTATAGTATTGTTGACAAACTATTATTAAAGAAATGTTCTCATATACCATTTACGGAGAGTGGAGTACTTTCTCCACTCTTGTAATGCCGCAGTAAATAATGACGATTTGACAAAAAAAACTTCGTGGGTACTTGATACGGAAAAGTGAACAATTTTTTTATCATATATGTAGTATATTACTTCTTCTAACACCTTGCGTAGTCAGAATGTACGTTCTTATGTCCTTGATTGAGAAAAAATAATTTACAACGAATCGTCCGTGCGTCTGTGAACTGTGCCGTAAGTAGGATTTTTATCCGAATTGCTATTCCTCGATCGGCCTTATTGGCGTTGCGGCCCCTTGAATTAGGAACGGATACTTCGATTTTTGATGGTCCTTTACATGAAGTCTAGAGCCATCGTGAACATTTTCTCAGAAATTACCAAAAAGTGTTTCTTTAATTTTCTTTTTCGAATTGAGTAATGTACGGGTACGCGTAAAAATGGCGTAGAACCTATTTACGTTGAATTTTCTAAATTTTCGAAAATGCAAAAGTGTGAATTTTTTTAAGTATATTCCAACATCCACAGTACTGAATATAGATATTTTTTGTAATAAGATTTGATCTTCAAAAATAGATATAAGAGTCAGGTACAATTTTTTCCAAATATTATTGGCTTTCACCTAGTTTTGTAGGCAAAATAGGCGTCTTTCAAAACTAGATTTTTTTTCTGAAACGCCTTTACACTTTTTTTTTCATTGTCATAAAGTGTGAAGTACGCTTGAAAAATGGTCCATGTCCAATATTTGTACTACTCTGTAAAAAAAAAATTGCAAAACTTACAAATAAAACCAGTACTGTTTAGCCCCAATAGTTTAATAATGCTTTAGTTCTTAATACATCATTTATTAAGTATGATTTATGCATTATTTCAAGCGAAAAGCAAATTTATCTTGTAACTTAATTTTTTTAGTTGTGCTAATATTGCAGCCCATGAATTGTATAAAAATATAGAGTCAATGTGAAAGTACTCTTCTAGTTGGAAAATAAATTTCAAGTCTTATCATACGTAGCCAAGTTAGTTTCATATATGTAAACAGAAATTGAAGAAATAATTTCGCGTTATAACAAAAAGAAAATGTAATCAACAAAAATATTAAAGAAAAAAGTTTCAGAAAATGAAACTTGTTAAACACGGACCTAAAACTACTTATTACATTTAAATAATGCCATATCTCATGCACTTAATACTTACATTTTCGCATCGCTCAACACAGTGTTAGTTCTTTCAGGTATTGAGTAGATAAAACCCTACAATGAGCGTCAAGGTACGACCATTCTCCTAAAAATGTAGTCTCCATTTATACCACATATGATTTGTGGCATTGTAGATTAATCGTGGTAGACTGCGAGTTCATTGGATTAGTTATATCATATCTAACTTGCCCAGCCTTGTGCATTGCTTCATTGTCTTGATACAATTGAAATTTATGCGTATACCATTTTTTCTCCATTAACTTCAAAATGCTTTTTAAATGTCCACGCATGAACTCATCGTACATTAATGAAGTGAAAATTGTCCGATCCTACCGTGGCTGAAATAGTTTGACATGCTGTCAAACTTTAGTGACAGGCGTCACAAGATTCTATCTGCAATATTTTCGGCGAGTTTCAATCAGTGTCTAAACCCTGCATCCAATTCAGATTGCATTTTTTCCCCTCTGTTTCTCATATTTTGTACCTTAAGGTGCTTTTAGAACGACCCTTATTTCTAGATACCGTATACGTAGTTATTCCTCCACAAATTGTTGGGTTTAACGTAGTATATACTTTAATGTCTGAGGGTCTTTTTTCCTTCACATTCATTGAAAATTTCATAGTCGCCTCTCATTAATGAATTGATTACTTCAACGAAACATTTTCCTAATAACTTTCCCATTGAATATTCAGATGTCAAGTAATGAAGTCATACGAAAATGTTATCCCTAAAACTTTGATCTTCGTCTTCCTCTAAAGGTATTGAAGGGCGCTGAAAAGTCCTGAGGATTTTTTTGGAGGGGAGGGGTACACGTATTTAGTCAAAATTCTTTTCGTTTCAATTCATTTGTTCGTTTTAACGATTATTATTTTACATGTATAAAACTATTTTATTTATTCATAATTTTGATTAACTAACTTACTTGTAAACAAAAGAGGAAAATATAAATACTTAATTTTCAGATATGACTTGGTCATTTGAAAAATTGCTCACTCAAAGAGTATTAGGAAATAGATTTTAGGTTACGTTTTATAATATTAAATAAATGCCCTATTCTCAGTAAATTCGTACTTGCTCGTAACAGCGCACAGTCTCTACCAGGGAACAGAAATATTGAACGTGTATCTGTTGCTGAGTGTTAAGTAGTGGATGTTTGAGATGCGGTGAGGTTCGCCTCGGCGCGTGGACACCGGTGGCGCTCCACGTGATCCGAGGAGGTCGTCCCGTGGCCGAGCGTAGTAGTGGTACTACTCTAAAGCCATAACAAATTAACCAGCGATACACACGACCCACGTGAAAGAACGTGAGGTGTTGACGTCACTGGAGCTGTGGAGGAAGGTCACCAAGACATCGGGCCCCAGTCCAAGTTTCTGTTCTGTAGGAAATCTTGAATGACACGGAAAGGACATTCTATTGCGTTCCGTTTGCGTCTAGAAATCGATAGTAGATGAAAAGCAGGAATTAAGGTCATAAAAGGAAGACATCGAAAAGAAATGTTAACAATTTATTTGTATTCCACTCACATTCACATATTACCTCTCTCTGTCTCTCTCTCTCTCGCTGTCTCTCTCGCTGTCTCTCTCTCTCGCTGTCTCTCTCTCTCGCTGTCTCTCTCTCTCGCTGTCTCTCTCTCCTCTCTCTCTCTCCTCTCTCTCTTCTCTCTCTCTTCTCTCTCTCCTCTCTCTCCTCTCTCTCTCCTCTCTCTCTCCTCTCTCTCTCTCCTCTCTCTCTCTCTCCTCTCTCTCGTTTCAATGGCAGTTGTGACTTCAGTGGGAAAGCTGGAAATTGGAATGCAACATTTTCTTCTTCTTTCTACCTCATTTCACTTGTTCTGCCACAGTGCGAATATGTTTGCTCTTAAAATTCATTTTTAATACTAGAATACCTCTTTCATCTATAATACTAATTTCCAAAACGCTCAAAAATTGACAGAAACAACAATATTATTGAAGAATCAGCCTCCGGCTATGAGAGAGATATCTAAGCATTCATTAGATAGTGAAGAATTCGGGAAAATCCAAAAACAATGAGTTTCAATGTTGACTGGAAATTAATTTATTTAACTGTAACTTGTAAATAAAAAGGGTGTAATCTATGTATCCTCAAACTGCACGTGCCGACTTAGTCCTCATCCTCAGTGCGTCCCTGTTTATGACACAGTTGACGTCATGCGACAGCAAGGCTCCAAGGAAGATACTGCCCGTCGTTTTTTTCATATTTTCTATTCACGTTATGCGTTGTGGAGCATTGACTTTTTATTTGGATTTTTTTCCAAATTGAAGAAACCTGTGTCCATTTGGATCGAGTCAAAACATTGAGATTTTGAAAAAGGTTTTTTAAAATTTGGGGGTACTTTAAATGAAGCCCTCCGGAGATTTTCAATTTTGTCTCCAAAACGATTCCAATTTTTTTTAAATTTATTGCAAAATATCAGAAAACAAGATTTTGTCGAAAACGACTCGAAATTTTTTCTTCAAACATTTCCAACATATAATGCTAATTACACTGTTTAAGATGACATAATTAATTTTGCTGTAATTATTTGTTTTTTCAAAAATTACACAAATCTTTTTTTTAATCTCTCACGCCTTTGATATTCACATTTCCAGCGATTTGTAAACACTATTGCATTTATGTCTGGAAGTGCTTGAAATGATATCACAAGAAGTTTTTCGAAAACTCAATAGTTTTCTCTGAAAAGAGATTCGAATTTCGAATTTCCAGTAGCGCTTAAATGCCATTTTCGTAAAAAGGCTGCAAATTTTTGAAAGAAAATTGCCTTTTAAGGCTAGGTTTTACTGTTCTTTAATATTTTTAAAATATTTCCGTTGCACTGTTAGAATGCCGGAAAATGAAGAAAATTTCAAGAAAAATGTACTTAGGGCGATGAGCTGGCAAGAGTATGTGGCAAGTCCGAATAGCTAGCCGAGACTAATGGAAATAGAAAACTAATATGGGAAAGTCTGAACTACTAGTTTATATTCTTGGTATGTAAAGAACTGTTGAATTGTGTATCCGTATATACTAAAATATGTTATTGCAGTATGGTAAGACTGTTTTTATTAAAATATTTAATTTGTTGCCGTGTTATAAGAGTGTTTTATATGTAGTTCTTGAGTAGTGTGCTTGCTACGTTTTAGAAAATAATTTTGTGTGAGTTTGTTGAGCCTTTTTGTTGCTGCAAACCACTAGTTTTCTTTCATTCCCTGTATGCACATCTAGCACCTGCACTAGGGGGAAGGGGTCTCGGAGGGTGCGAGGTTGCAGCTCTTCATAGCCATGCTCCTAACAACTCGATTCCTAAAGTTGGAGCTTCGGAGAGGGGAGTGGACGTGAGCACGTGCACGTAGCGCACCCGTTCCAAAAGCAAGAGCTTTCTCGCGTGTGCGAAGGCGCGTGCATCGCATTTCCACGGCCACTGCCAGCGCCGCCTGAGAAAACCGCGAAACCGCATGCGATTACGATGTTTCTGCCTCGAGCGTTCAGTTCGAAGGGCGCAAGCGGTGCAGTGGATATTTCTTGCTTTTTCTAGTCCTGTCAATCAGATTTCGCAGCAAATGGAATAATACTCTTCCCGTCAAATGTTTACTCAGGAAACTATTTGCTCTGATACCAGGGAGA